GGCATACTAGGTAATGAACGTGTCCAGTGCAGTAATATCCAATGGTGGAGCCTATGTAATGGAATGTCTTATACAGTAACATTCTATGCAGTGGGATAGCTCATGTAATAACATCTTCTGTAATACTAATCCCGGTACAGTGACATTCCAACTAATAGAGTGTCCATTAAGTGAGTGACACTGTATGTAATAGACTAGCCAGCCCAGTGACATTGGGGCATTAGAGTGTCCAGGACAGTAATATTCCTTATGTCCGATACAGTAACGTCCCATGGACTAGAGCATCGCATGCACTGCAGTCTTCAGGATTGTGACAGCCTTGCTGTTAGAGTTCTCTTACAGTGACGCTCTAGGTAGGCGAGTGTCTTGTACAGAAACACCCTGTGGGACAGAGTAACAATACAGTGGCCAAGGAAGAAACCTGAGAGAAATGCTGACTTTACAATGTTCTTGTTGAGTCTGCTCCAACTCCTGCTCTCTGCAGGCTTTCCCAGGATCACAATGCTGCGGTCATTGTTGTTAAGTTCTGTCAGATCTGACCCCTAGAGACCCTGTATAGGGTGTCCAAGAAGTGGCTGGTGGGTTTGAACTACCAACTTCATAACTGGCAGTCCAGTGCTTACCCTGTAGCTCTAACCAGGACTCTGTCACCAAGCCCTGTTGGTTGATACGTAAAACTGTTGACAATGAAATATTTCCTCAGCGTCATCCCTCAGGAGCTTAAACCTGCATTGTCTCAACTCTGATAGATTGAAGTTTTGAAAATGAAGGTGATCTTGTCACCCTAACACCGCTTGGGGAATGCTGAGAGCTCAGCCTGCAGCCAGCAGCGCAGTGTAGCTCATAGAAACTCTCCTGTTCACAGTGTCGGAGGTTGTATGGCTCAGATCCCTCTTAGGACATGGCCAGCCTACGTCTGCTCAAGGCTTGGCGATTCATATTCAAAAGTGAAAGGATCGATTAACCTGAGAAGGGAGAAGTTTCACAGCGGCACTCCCTAATGGAAGACGGTATTGCACTGAGACTGGGGAAGAGCTCATCTTACTGTATAAACTTCACGTATTTGAAACACAGAAAAGCAATGTCTGTCTGGTACCATCAGGTTTCATTACAAGTCGAAAATATAGGCCTGACTTGTTTCAGATGTTTCAAAGGTGCTTTTATAGGAATTAAAATTAGCCAAATGCAGCCGTAGATCCATTTTGTAGTCAGAATTCAAATTCCGGATGTTAGCAGGGGATCTCACTTGAGACTCGTTTTTGCTGCTGAAAGAGAACACCCACTTCCACAATGGTGAGTTTCCATGTAGAAAGGTGCTCGTGTCAGGACTGTGGGCTTGAGTCGATGAGCTGTTTGATTGAGGCTTTTCTGGGTTTTTTAAAAGTCGTGGCGTATTTACAGAGAAATACAGGGCACCTTAAAGTCCTGTTGAGACTTTAGAGTTTGGGTTTTGTTATTGTAAAATATTTCTGTGTCACAGATAGGAAGTATGGGTTTAGAAAGAATGGCAGCAGTGCTTTGGTGTCCCCAGTGTCCGTCCCAGCTAATGACGTGATGAGCCATTAGGCCGCAGGTTGGATCCTTGGATCTGGTTTCTGTAACATCATCCTTTGTTCCAGTTTGGTGTGTGCGTCGATCCCCTAGGAGCTGACTCTCGGGAAGGGGCGTTTTAACTTTGGAAGCACATGGGTATGGTACTGTGTTAGGAAGATAAGATCTTGTTTTCATTCATTCGTTCACTCATTAAAAAAAAACCAAACCAAAACACTCAACACCACAAAAACCTGACTGATCTTTTCTTGATTAAGCAGGAGAATACCTTATGTACCCTTTATTGTTGGTATAAACCATTATTTCGCTGAGAACCATTAGCTATTTAAAACTTGGTACATAAATTAAAGCGGAGCTAAATGGGTCTGTGATTGGTGCCATTAGTAGCATTTTAGATTATTCGGGCAATTATTGTGTTCATTATCCAAGAACAACCCCTTTGCAGAACTATTGTGGTTGTCTTAGACATTATGCACACATTTTCCCTGGAGATTAAAATTTCCAGTAGCGTATTTAATTTTGTTATCACAGTTGTTTCCAATAAAATAAATATTATGACAAGTAGCAGAAAATGTACTTTACTAATATGGGAAATTACAATAACTGTTGACTGCTTGCTAGTAGACATAGTGTACCTTTCCACATCAGTCATCACCATGGCAGGTGATTGCGCATTAACTGGGGGGCGGGGGCAGGGAGAGGGAGGTACCTGGTCTGGGCCAGGTGGGTAAGAAGGTGTTTGAAGGAAGCAGAGATTCACATTAAAACTAGAACATTAGGAGCTTTCAAAGTGAACTCATGTTTGCATTAAGCAGCTCTAAGGAGCCCAAATTGTACTTGAGATGATAACGGTTGTGGGTGCCCAGAGAAAGGGAGGTGGCAGTGTGTCTGTTGGGTTGCCAGCTCTACAGATGGCAGCTCGCGGGAGAGAGACAAGGCTTCCTGCTCCCGTGAAGATGGAAAGCCTGTGATACCCTGAGTCAGGAACTGCTTGGACGGCACATATCAGCACCAACAAAAGATGGCAGCCGTGTCCCCAGGAGTGATCTCCTAGCCCAGAAAAGGTCACCTGACACTGCAGGGCACAACCCACTAATGAGGATGCCTTTCACTCTGAGAGACTTCCTGTAAATGAAAAGGGAGAGGCACCATTGCTTGGCTTCAGTGGGGTCAGTTCCTTAGTCCAGCAGTCGCTCACCAGGTGGCATTTCTGTGAGGAAACTTCAGACTCACTTCTGACTCTATGTGTCCTGTCGTCACAGGCTCCTGCAGTGACGACTTATGAAGAAATGGAAGGTAGTGGTTATGCATTTTGCAAGACAGTGATTCTTTATTTCAGAAAAACACCCGCTCTGGAAGGGCAGAGTAAATCATTCCTTTCGCTTTGTAATGGGATTTGGATGACTAGAGTATGCACTTTGCATGCATTGATAGTATCTGTGGGTTGAGGTAATTGAGTCTTGTTCCTTGACTGCATGAATAATGACTCCATCTGATCCTTGCCTTTGTCACGGAGGAGCCCGCCTGTAACACAACTTCTACTTCCTTGGCTTAATTTTTCTTCATTTTCATCCAAAAACCCATTTTTCTCAATAATTCAAGCATAAACTATGTAGCAGTTGAAGGAACAGAAATGCAAATTATTTGTCCTAGTTGTGGACCTGCGTGAGACAGTGCTGAGTCAGTGGGTGGTCAGTGCGTTGCTTTGCAGAGGGACCGTGGGCGTGCATGGGCAGCCTGGCTGGTGTGGGCCTGTCCATCCGGAGAGAGGAGAGCTGGCGTGGCTGCCCACCTAGGAGGGACAGAGGTGTGATGCTGTGAACAGGCACACTGGCTGTTATGACCCCGTCTTCATTGTACAGCAGAGCACTTCGTTCAGTGGGTCTCCTGCACCACATGGAGGCTGCAGAGCTCCAGGGCCTGGGGAGGTGGTGGTGTGTTTCTCTGTATTGTCTGGGCCATGAGCGATCCCTCCACACTGAGGTTCAGAGGGCAGCCTGGGGAGGGCAGGGCTGGCAGCATGGTCTCTGAAAGTGTCGCCTGAAAACCACTGCTTCGTACTACTGTGTGGGAATCAGAGTTTACTCTTCATTGTTTCATTACAGTCAAGTTGACAGTACAGATAAACGGATGCTGAGTTTTGTTGAAGGCGTTAGTGTCACAGAGAACATGACAAGCTCTACAGTTTTCAGAAAAGACCAGAGTTCTGATGCTTTCCTCCCAAGGCCTAGTGTGTGCGTAAAGGGCACAAAGGGGTCTCAGGAACATGGTGGTAAAGTGTTTGTCCTTGGATACCTCTGAACACGCGTGTTTCTGAGAGTACATGTGACCCGTGTCCCCGAACACCTGTGTCTGTGAGTGTACGTCACACCGTGTCACTGATCCCACGTCTGTGAGTACACGTGTCACCATGTCACTGAACACCTGTGTTTGTGAGTACATGTGTCACCGTGGCGCTAAACACCCGTGTCTCTGAGTACACGTCACAGTGTCACTGATCACACGTCTCTGAGTACACATGACACCATGTCACTGAACATCCGTGTCTCTGAGTACACGTGTCACTGTGTCAGTGAACACCTGTATCTGGGAGTACATGCAACACTGTATCACCAAACACCTGTGTGAGTACACATGACCCCGTGTCACTGAAGACCTGTGTCTCTGAGTACATGTGTCACCATATCCACTGAACACCCATGTCTATGAGTACACGTGACCCTGTGTATGTCACTAAACATGTATGCCTGAGTACACATGACACCATGTCCCTCTCACATGGAGAGGGACTTTGTAAAGGTGGCTTGAGCTTGAAATTGCAGCCACACACTTCAGAAGAGCTGGAGTCCAGCATACTGGAGCGGACACCTGTGTGGCCACTGGTTCACCTGGTTTCCAGGGCCTGCTGAGAGCGATGCCCTCCCTCCTGCTGAGCCGAGTGCAGTGGTCTCTTCGGTGGGCCAGGAGAGGGCCTGGAGGGTAGAAAGTTTCCCACAAGTGACCACTTACCCTGTGGTGTCTGTCTTCTATAAGAAGAGAAGAGTGGTCTTCCTGATCAAAGGAGGCAGACTTCATAGCTCTATCAGACAGAACCTGTAGTGGGTTGGATGTAGCACACGCTAGGCTAATGTTGCGCCAGACCCAAGAGGGCAGGTCAGGCCCGGGCGCCCAGCTGCCTGCCTGGCTCTGGCGGCTGTCTCCCATGGTGCCCTGGCAGCGTGTTCCACGGCTTCATTTAGAGAAAGCAGCTGAGTGTAAGCAGGGCCGACATCCTGGCCTTGTTGTCTCTGAGGTCATGGTTTCTTACAAACGCTGTCTCCTCTGCAGAGGCTTTCAGGGTGTCCAGTCCTCTGGTAAACTCCACCACCTGCAGGCTGCGTACTCGTTGGAGTACAGCATGGGACAAGGGCTGCTGGGATGCTCTTACTCACTTTGCCTCTCTCCCCCAGGTTGGTCTGCTGGACCTGGAACTCAATCAGCTGACCAAGGCTCTATTCCTGGCTCTGGTGGCCCTCGCAGCTGTGATGGTGACCTTGCAAGGGTTTGTGGGCCCCTGGTACCGCAACCTCTTCCGTTTCCTCCTCCTGTTTTCCTACATCATTCCCATCAGGTAGGCCCAAGAACTGGGAGAAGCAAATGTGTGGGTCCCAGAATGTTGTTTAACAAAGTGACACCTGTGTCCCTCTGTGAATGCACAAGCAGCTGGTCGAACCACTACTTTGTCCGCAGCACTAAATGCGGTGTCAGTGGCTTGGGAGTCTGGATTTCCCTCCAGCTTGCTATGAGCCAGGCACCGCATCTTTGTATGTGCTGCAGCTGAGCAGGGAGGATGCTTGAGTTTAGAGAGTTGACAGCCCAGGGGGCATCTGGTACAGTAGCACACAGTGACCAAAAATGTGGAGTGATGTTGATATTGTTAGGTGCCTTGGAGTCGGTATCAACTCATAGTGACCTTATGCACAACAGAACGCAAACACTGCCCGGTCCTACGCCAACCTCACAATTGTTGCCACGCCTGAACCCATCGATGCTGCCACTTTGCCAATCCATCTCCCTGGGGGCCTTCCTCTTTTTCTCTGACCCTCCACCTTACCAAACATGATATCCTTCTCCGTTGACTGGTCCCTCTTGACAGTGTGTCCAAAGTATGAGAGACGAAGTTTGGCCATCCTGGTCTCCAGGGAGCACTGTGGCTGCATTTCTTCCAACACAGATCTGTTGGTTCTTCTGGCAGCCCATGGTACTTGTAATATTCTCCTCCTAGCACCGTAACTTAAATGCATCAATTCTTTTTATCATCTTTCTTATTCATAAGAGGTTTTTGAAAATACCATGGCTTGAGTCAGGTGCACCTTAGTCCTCAAGCTGACATCTTTGCTCTTCAACACTTTGAGAAGGTCTTATGCAGCAGATTTGCCCAATGCAATACGTCATTTGATGTCTTGGCTGCCGCTTCCGTGAGTATTGATGGTTGATCCGAGAAAAATGAAGTCTTTGACTTTTCTTCTTTGATAAGAGTGTTGTTTATTGGTCCAGTGGTGAGGATTTTTGTTTTCTTTACATTGAGATGC